TGGTGAGCCTGGCAACCCTCGTCATAATACTTCATGTCCTCCATGCTAGCGAACTCGGTCTTGGAGACAAAGGTGTATCCCTGAGACCGAGCATCCTCATCGGCGGCACCAACAACCATGGAGAGGATATAGGGCTTGCCGTCCTTGAGCAGATAAGTGAGCGGGTATGTACAAATAGAGATGTGACTGGAGGCAACTCACCTTTTGCTGAGAGGCATTGAGCTTATGGTACTGGTCCAGAAGCTTGGCCTGCTCGTCCTTGCTAGGCAGCTTGAACATAGTGATTCGGTGCACACGGTTGGCCATCTTGACGGTAGGGATCTGAGTAAAGGGTCTGGATACGTTTTTGATATGGTGTTGCGAGACTCGTGCGGGCTTTTGGGGGATACGGCGGGGAGAAAAGGTGAGAGCTCGACAGACAAGCCTCGAGTTCATATAGGATCTTGTGATAGCTTGGAGAACCACAGTAAGGGCAATTTCAAGGTAAGCACTGCCCGAATTGGATAGTTGAGTAATATTTAACGAAGACAATGCGCGAGGCGGTTTCATGCGGGCCAAACGCGGGGGCGGCTCAGGAGCTTATCCCCGCCCACATACTCCGTGGACCCCATGTTATGTTGGAGGTTGATTTCTAACAGATTACCAACCAATCATCTTTCATAATTTTTAGGAGCAAGTACTGGGGATCATGGAGTTTCGTTTCCGCACCTGAGCCCGAGTCATTCCGTTATTTATGCCGCAAAAACGGAATCCACTGATGGTTCTTGACCAGATATTCTACTTGGACACGATATGCTTACAAAGCTGGCAGAAAATTGCTATTCCCTTCCTTCAAGGCTCACTCATTCTTAGTCAAGGGTTGATCTATTACTTGGCGATATCTCNNACTCCAGAACCTACCCCGCCCCCACGAGCCGGGCTGTCAGATGAATCTCCAACTTGAATCATGAGAAAGGGCATATAGGGCCGAAACAGCCGGTATCTGTGAGGCGATATTGGCGGGACAATTTTTTTCCATCTGCGTCGTCCAATGGAGCTGAAACCTGGGTGCACGGTAGATCAGTCGGCTCAGGGATTACCCCAGATTCACCCAGCTCTGAGTGGCCAGCGATTTAACCTTATCGCTGTAATGAACCTGACATGGACGAAAAGAGTACCAGTTTCATCGTTTTCCTCCTTCTATTCCAGGTACAGAACTGTTCTAGATCCTGTGCCATGTATAGTGCATAAATGCTAATCAGGCTATACTGCGTCTGGGTGTCTAGCAAGCGAAAATACACTACGTAGGTACTCAGTCTAACAACACCAACCTCTTTAGCAATGATGGCTATGTTTGACTTTGACTTTGGTAAGGAGAACAAGAACCGCATTGACAATTCCCTCGACTGGTGGGCTTGGCAACAAATCTCGCTGTTACCAGCATTGACTAAATTATTTGTACTGTCATGGTTGGATACCTCATAGAGGACAATTACCTACTGTCGACGCTTTCTTTTCTTCGTCCTTTCGGACCTATCACGTCCAAAGCCAGATTCAAACATGAAAGCTGTCGATTACGCACTCAGCCAACCCTATACTGCGTTTCTGCCCCTTTTATCTCGATGAATCACCGTCATCATAGATCTCTTCATCTAATCCTATACCTTTGCCGTTTTATGTTCCCTTTTTGCTTTCCTCCTAACTCCTTCGCTGACTTGCTATACATAAAAACAATAAAAACCACTTTTGTTGTAAATACCGCAATGCGCACATAATATCCTTTTTGACAAAAGGCGCTGCCTATAACGTTTTCGTTACCAAGTACCCCTCCAATCCACCTTGGAGATCACCAAGGTGTCGACACAAGCTTTCAACAAGCGGAGGCATTGCCTCGCTTGCTACAGGGTAATTTTGTCGAAAGATGAGCCTCGCGAGCGACAAAACCGCCACATAATTCGACACAGGCTCTAACTGAAGACGCAACCCTTCTGGAGACGAAAGTGATGGGGTACCCTGACCAAGCTCAAGGAACATTGTCGTCTCCCTCGTCTCTGGTTCATTAAGTGATAAGACTTCTTGTCCCATCACTTGATCGCCGTTCGTTGTTCTCTGCGAAAGCAGGCCATACGCCCACAGCGTCAGACTAGCAAAGTAAACAACCATAGCGTTGAATCCTCGCAGGGTTGTTGGCATACACTCCTGTGCATGTCGGAGGACCTGTCCAGCATGCCAGGCAGCATACCGGGACTCTGGTCCAGGTAGCCACGTGCTCTCTAATAACTGCATTGCTCTGCGGAATTCCTCGTCGCCCATCCTGCCCGCTAGCCGCTGTATATCGTCCAACGAGACATGTATGATCATCATGAAAAAGTCTGAAAGAAGCGATAGCTCAGGTCTTGGGGTCTGTGCAGATCCGAGCTGAGTTGACAGCTTACCAAGGCCCTCATAGAGCTCTTGGTAAAGGGAGCGGGCCCATTCAGGAACATCAGACCCCGGCCGATCCGGAGCTGCGTGATGATATTGAGCGATGGCGTTACGGTACGTCCAGATTTGTCCCCACAGTCCATGCAGAGCAGCCTTGCAGCAAGATTCTGTGTCCACCCACGTGTTCTGTTCAGTCATGACAAACTGACAATCTCTCACATCGGAAAGGCGAGGGAAATCGGTAGGAGGGAAAGACCCCTTGGCCAAATTCAAGTCCCACCATATCTGTGAATTACTAGCTTTCCAGAGATCACGGGCCGCCGGAAGTGCAAAGTCGAGCTGGCTGTATGCTAACGTGGGTCCTTTCCACGACACGATCGATGTTTGTGTATCGTGGAGAAATGCACGGATGGCCAACCTGTACGCGAGTCAATATGCTAGCTGGTGACTTCGGCATGGTAATATAAGTAACCTTTTGTAAGATTCGATTGTCGTGAATGTTTGCCATTTCGACTCAAGTGTCTCAGGAGAGTCGCCGGTATTGGGCGTATGTGTAGTCAAGTCTGACGTGAAGCTCAACTTCCCTGCTTTTCGGAGCAGCTATTCGGGATTAGCCTGCTAGCCAGACTCATAATCGCAACAGACTTACAGTCAAAAGCTGAGGCGCAAAGCTTTCTGCCATCTCGGTCTGACGATTGAAGCCACTCCATTGACCAGTTTCAATGTGGAGGACAGACGCTTGAAGAAGTGTGATATCTCGCACAGCCAGGCATGAAGATTCAAGCTGTTTGGCAGTCAGCATATGGTTTACCTTTTGCCAATATCTTTGGCTCACCGTCGCTGCGCCATGGTCCATACTTACTCGTTTCCCAATGGCACTTGCCGTAATCTCGTCAAGAGCCAGGCCGAACTGCCATATAGCTGGGGTAGATATACATGAAGCCCCACTTGATACTACAGCAGAGAAAAGCTCTTGGCTAGTTGCCGAGGGATCGAATGACGATCTGTGAATAAAAGCCTCACTCTTGGGGTCTTCGCTCTTGAAGTACGTCTCGATCATATAGCCCAATAACTCAGCTGATGGAAATGTTGGTACTCGATGCGGTATCGGATTGTTGGCGAGAACCATGGCGAACATGCTGTCGCGTAAGTAGGGTGAAACGATATCGGAGCGAGACACTGAGCTCCCTGCCTGACCATTGGCCTCGGGCTCATACAACCATACTGAACGCTGAATGGGTGCTTCCGCCGAGACAATACCTTTACGGCCTTGGCGTGATGTACGTTTTCCTGCATCGCCAGACTGAGGATTTCGTCCGGNNAGTCTGGGCGCGCCGAGAAAGGAGGGGACACTGTAATCGACGGCAGCATCAACGACATGACCTTGATGAGCAATAACCGACTGGGGCAACGCATAGGTAGCTTCACCGGCCGTAAAGACCTGAGTGTCATTTCCTGTAGTTGAGGCAACCATTGAACTGTCAGAGGGTGACATACCAGCCTGCGACTCAGACGTGCGGTATTGGTTCCCGCGTCTCACTGGCATCTGGCATGTCAAACTCTTACTACGGCAGCGGCTGCACGGCTTCTGATCTTCGCATTTTGCCTTGGAAGCAGCGCAATTGAGACATGCCTCGGCGGCGCGGTCGCTTCTTCTGATAAACGGGCGGTCTTTTGCGGCCCCATCTCGATCGTGGGTGGTCTCATGCCGTGTCAGGAGGTCAGCGCGATTAAAACGCTTAGGACATCGGGTGCATTGGTACGGTCGGGCATTCTCGTGCGACCTGAGGTGTCTGGTCAGGTGGTCGGCTCGCTCGTAGACGCGACGGCAAATATGGCAGACGTGAGATGGCGATGAGGCAGATGCATCAGAAAGTTTTCTCTTGGTAGGCAACGTAGAGGCAATTCTCTGGGGCGTTTCCCCTTGGTGTTGTTGCAGTGCGGGATCTAGCTGCCGCTGAAAGATTTGATGCTTCGAGGGCGACGCGGGAGGCAGTGAATGCTGCAACTCATGCTGTTCCTGCTGCAAGGGTGGCTGGGCCCGTTGATTCGAATCGGCTACGGACACAGGCGCTGCGAGGGAGAACAGGGACGACAGGAGCATGTCTGAGCCGGCGGCATCGCAAAGAATGTCGATGCCATTTTGCTCCGTGGCCGCCATTGGATTCGAAGCCGTCGCCTCAGACAAAAGCAGGCCAAGCCGGACTGTGCCGTTCTGGCCGCGGGAGGGATTGACTAGCCGGACGTGGACTGAGAGAAGTAACCAGTCGCTTGAGCCAAGGCAGCAGGGATCGCTGACTGACTGTTGAGGGGATCGCGAGACAATCCAATGCCGTTGTGCTGAGGTTCGGAAGGGAGGGGGCGGGGGGCGGG